CTCAACCACTTGCTTGCCCTTGCTACTAGAACTTTGCTCAATGCTCTCAATGATCAAATCATCACATGATGTAGCTATATCAATCTTAACAACATCGTTAGTAGCATCATGTGGCTCATTGGATAAAAATTCTTGAGCAATGACAAGATTATCATGATTAATCTTAAGAGTGGTATATTCTTTTTTTAGCTTGTTGTGGCTAGTGATGAGCTCATTGTGTATCTTCTCAAGTTTATCATGTTTATCTTTAAGCTCTTTCTTAGAAGATTTGAGCTCCTTGAGTTTGGATGACATAGCATCATTTGCTTCTCTAAGCTCAACACTAGCCTTTTCCGCTATATCATATTTTGCTAAAAGTGCATCATTTTTAGCCTCTAGCTTTTCATTCTTAGCTCTAGTCTTTATAATGATTTTAGTGTATTGTTTTAGCAATCTAGCAAGATCATCATAAGAAGGTGATTCATATTCATCATCATCACTATCGCTATCATCATTACTAGCATGTTCATCACCACTACTATCATCATCATTTGATACCTTGCGTTCACCCTTGGCCATAAGACATAGGTGTGTAGAGGATGATGGCGGTGGTGGCGGTGAAGATGATGAAGAGTCAATAACAATGGTGGCCACCTTCTCGTTGTCACTATCATCATTGGATGAGCCACTAGATGAATCAATGTCCGTGAGCCAATCACCGACGATGTATGCCTTTCCACTCTTCTTCTTCTTGTGGAAGTCCTTCTTCTTGCCATCTCTCCTCTTGTATAGCTTGTCTTTCTTCTTCTCATCTTCATCACTTGAGTCATCTTTTTTGCCCTTGTTCTTATTCTTGAACTTGTTTTTCTTGGGCTTTGTGCATTGGTGAGCTAGATGACCAAGTTCTCCATAATTGTAGCAATCCATCTCGGAGATTGGCTTCCTTCTAGAGCTTGTGAAGAACTTCTTCTTCTTGCCATCGAACTTGATGCCACTCTTGTTGAGCTTCTTTAGCATCTTGGTGGTTTTCTTCACCATGAGAGCAAGACTTGCATCATCAAATTCATCATCACTTGAGCTCTCATACTCAAGTCTTGCTTTACCCTTCTCTTGGCTAGCTTTGAATGCTATGTCCTTATCTTTCTTCTTGGTAGAGGATGAGCCATCTTGTGGCGTGATGTGCATATACATCTCATGAGCATTGATCTTTCCCAAGATTTGTGTCGGTGTAGCAGTGGAAAGATCACCTTGATGAAGCACGGTCACAATATGACCATATTTGTCAATAGGGAGGACACTCAATATCTTTCTTACAACATCGGATGGTTGCATTTGAGTAAGTCCAAGCCCATTGACTTCCTCTACAAGAACATTCAAACGTGAATACATTTTATTAGCACATTCTTTAGGAAGCATTTCAAAAGAGTTAAGCTTTTTTATGATAAGATGATAGCGTTCCTCATGCTCACTCTTTGTTCCCTCATGGAGCGCACAAACGTCCAACCATAGTGCATGGGCGTCTTTGTGGTTCCTCACCCGGTTGAACATATCTTTGTAAAGGCCTCTAAATATGGTGTTTCTAGCCTTTGCATTCCATTTTTCATAATTCAACTCATCGCCTTGTGGGTGTGCGGCATCCCGAGGTTTTGGGAAACCTTGTGAGGCGGCTCTAAGTATTCCAACATCTAGAGCTTCTAGATATGCCTCCATGCGGATTTTTCAATATGAAAAATCATCCCCCTCAAAGATAGGAGGAGGTCCATCCCTGTGAGACATCTTTCACTAGGCGGTTAAGCCTAAATACGTGAGGACGAGGCTCCAATACCAATTGAAAGGATCAAGATGCCCAAGAGGGGAGGTGATTGGGCTAATTCTAAATTTCTTTGCAATAATTAAATCCTACGGTTAGCCCAATTAATCCCTTGTGCCTAGAAAGTGTTTCTAATTGTTCTACCGCACAAAAGACTTGCAACCTATGTTCCAATCCTACTCTAGCATGGCAATTCTAAGAATGTAAATGAAAAGAATTGAATTGCTCAAAGTAAATGCTCAAAGTAAAGAGAGAAGGAGGAACGTGGTGATGTTTTACCGAGGTATCGGAGAGTCGCCACTCCCCACTAGTCCTCATTGGAGCACCCGCGCAAGGGTGTAGCCCCCCCCTTGATCCGCGCAAGGATCAAGTGCTCTCTATGTGTTGATTCTTCGACACTCCATCGCGGTGAATCACCCACAACCGCTCACAACTTGAGTTGGGTCATCCACAAGCTCTCCGGATGATCACCAAGCTCCCAATCACCACCAAGCCGTCTAGGTGATGGCGATTACCAAGAGTAACAAGCATGAACTCTCACTTGACCACGACAAGCCTAATGAGAAGGGTGGATGCACACTTTGCTACTCTTGATCTCACTAATGAGGGCTCTCTTTGGGGTTCTCAAATCTCAATCACCTCACTAGGACCTTGCTCTTCTTGGCACTCTCAAAGGTGTTTCTCAGCTGTTGCAATGAGCAAAAGCACCCCCACACACGAGTGGAGGTGGTATTTATAACACCAACTGAAAAACGAACCGTTATGTGCCTCTGCGGGGTGACTGGACGCTCCGGTCATGTTGACCGGACGCTCCGGTCAGTTCACCCCGAACTCTAGTGTTTAAAGTGTGACCGGACGCTGGCCAGCGTCCAGTCAACACTGACCGGACGCGTCCGGTCATGATTTTCCCTCTCTGGAACCTTACTGGAGTCGACCGAACGCTGGCACTTAGCGTCCGGTCACTTCACCTCTCAGCGTCCGGTCGCGCCAGGCGATTTCACCTTGGTCAAATGAACCGACCGGACTCTGAGCCAGCGTCCGGTCAACCCGTAACCAACGTCCGGTTAGTATTTGACCCTCCATTCACTTCCAACTCTCGATCATACGTGAATGAAGTTGGCTCCATTGGATCTAAGGGCTATTTTGGAGCTGGTACCTAGTGCTAATTTAAACAAGTGTGCACCATACCTAACTCACTAGACTCACCTAGGTCAAGCTACCCGTCCATACCCCCTTAATAGTACGGCCAAAGGAAAAACAAAGTCCTTAAACTACTCTAAGTGTCTCTTCAACTCCAAACGACACTTAGAACTAGTCCATCCTTAACCTTGTCGTCCATCCTTTGAAAACCGAAACGATTTCCATCATAGGGGCATGACCACAATGATTGCCCAATCGATCTCCATTATCATGACCTAACTTAATTGTCTCTGCAAAACACACGTTAGTCATAGTAATCACGTATTGTCATTAATCACCAAAACATCCAACTAGAGGCCTAGATGCTTTCAGCCATGACAACTCCAAGTCAACTATGGACTACACCATGCGAAAGTACTCACTTAGAGGCAACCAACAATACGAAATCATGGAGCTAGTTCTTAAGTATTTTAGTTAGAACTCAAACATCAAGATGGCATTGTCTTCTTCCTTTCCGTCTTAGAAAGTCAAAAGTTTAGCTTGAACTAAACATTCATTAACACTCTTGCCACAATTTTTAAAGGCAACGTATCAGGTGCAAACCAACTAATCTATGCAAACTTGAAAACTATCAATCAGGACCACTAGATTCTAATCCAATGAATGGGGTGAGGTGGGATTTTTTTGCGCTTAAGCCCCCCACCCGCCGTCCTTTTTTCGCTTTAAGCCCCCTCACCCCATCCATTGGATCAGCATCCAGTGGTCCTGATTGATAGTTCCAAATTTGCACAGGTTGGTTAGTTTGCACATGATATGTTGCCATTTTTAAAATGTCCAAATCTCATTAACTGCTACCAACAAATATTTCATGCAATAGTCCATACCTTATACTAACCCATAGGAGCAATATATTTAAGCACCATTTAACTATTTACTCAATATAATTCACCAAAAATAGCATTTTAAACATAAGTTCAAATTCTCGCCGATTCAACGAAAAGTTCTAGTTTAATTTTTGGATTCAATGTTTGAGCTCCCAAAACACTGGTTAACACTATTCTCTTTCCAAACCTAAAGTTATATTCTTATCTATACTATTTGTTCATCATTTTTACATAAACACCATACACAAGTTATATTTTGTTTTTGTTTACAGAAATTATTTTTCGTTGATCTTAACCTACATGCTAAGCAAGTTGTAACACTAGAGGTGTTACAGACAGCCACGTAGCGCCGTGAAACGAGCTATGGACGAGCGAGTAGATTGATATTTTCGAGAGAGAGAGAGAGAGAGAGAGAGAGAGAGAGAGAGAGAGAGAGAGAGAGAGAGAGGAGGCAGCTTGTTAGACTGGTAGCGTGCCCGCCCAGAGCATTACCGTTTAATTTTCCTGTCCACAACCACGCCTGACTGGGTGAAGACAGATTTTATAATCGCTCAAGCGACAGACGACACCAGCCGCAAAGGGTCACACCACACTGAAAACCCTCAAAGAACTGGGCTTCATATAAACAAGTAACAGGCCTCGGGCGTTCCCGTAGGAATCACCCCGCGTTCTTTCTTTAAACAGGCCCCAGCCCCCATGTGGGCTGGATTTGCGTGTCCGCAGCCTAAGCCGAACAAAAGCAAGAGTTTCCGCTCAGTTCCGCAGTGCACAGTCACAGCATTGCTTAAAACTTTAACACCAACTGTTGAGAGAATCTGGGATGATTTTTCTCCCATGTCATTAGCCAAAATTTACCACTATCAATTACAGGTGTTAACAAGGGAAGGGAAAACAAAGGAATCTGTAACGGAACTAGGATAAATTATCTCCCCCTCTGAACCCTAGAACAACATGTATGATATCAGCCTACAACAGCCTGCCTGCGGTGCACTGCCTGCCACCTGATCCTGCACGCTGGAAACAGTAAATCCCCATCTCAAGCCCTTCTCACTATCTGGAGCCAAACCACACCTCTTCCCACCTGTTCCTATCTCTCACTTCCATTGCGGCATTGCCGCACAACTGTCCCCCCAAACCAATGAACTATACACTGTCCAGGACAAGGCTCAAAATTTGCCTCCGCCTCCTCAAGTTGGAATATCAGAATCTATGTCTGTACCTGTATCTAAGCTATCCTCCTGTATCCGCCGGTAAAAAAGAACATAAGCCGCCGATGTCTTTATACTGTCCTCGGTTATAGGACCCACATGACGGTCATCGAAATCATACCACCTTTTTTTGCCTTCATGCTGCACCAAAGAAAGCACATTATAAGCGCATATACCTTACAGCCCCAACACGTGGAACAAAATGGTATTCTCAAATGAGAACAGTACGTGATCTTGCCAATTGCCAATGATATAGAAAACAGATGTACCCAAAAGGCACAGTAGGGGAGGAAGAGAACTCACATAAACATAAGCTGTATAGTGACCACCTCCCAAGCTTCCATAGTGGTTGCTAATAGCATACAGTCGATAATTGTGAGGAACATCTTGGCATCTGTGACCGATATACTTTGACAGGTCAAGATCACAAATTGGGAAGTCCACAAAGGTCTCCAACTTGTTTTTGGTGTACCGACTGTACGAAAATCTTTTCAGGTGTATTATAAGGATTTCAGGTAATCTCCAAAGGTCTAACTTCTTACTAGCTTGTTGATGCTCTTTACAACCTGGGCAGTACCTGCATAATAGAGGGAGAACAAACTTACAAACAAATGAAGAGGAATAAGTGTGTGTGTGTGTGCCAGCCAGTTTCGCCATTCAGTACAACTACAGTATTTCTACTCTTTAAAATAACCATTGTTCCAACAACATATTCTACCTTGTACAGCGCTTTGAGAGCTTACACAAGAGAATGTAAAAACACTATGATATAAAACGCTCCTTATGATGAAAGAAAATTACCACATGTCTTCTGGGCCTAATGGTTCTTTCTTAATAAAAGCTTCCAGACATGCATATAGAGAACATGTGTCCTGTGGCCTCCTAGAAAATAGCACCGCTTTGTAAACTTCTGGAAGAGAATCCAAAGAACTAAGATCATATTGATCCAGTCCATTGTCCTCCCAACACACAGCCACATGCAGACGCTTATGCGGATCTTTCACCGTAATGGATAGATCCATTTCTATCTTCATGTGTTGGTCTGGGAATCTCTCATTAGTCAGGAAAAATTGCATCACGTCTCCAGTCCCTGTTTCATCCTCAACAGAATTGTTGTTTATAGTGGTGGGCTCTGAGGCATCAGAGCTCATATTGCTATCTGCAGTTTCATCAACCAGACTGCTTTCGCCAATTGTTTTATCAGCATCGGCAACATCATCTCTTGATACTCTGAATGGAGTCATAACCTTTAGGAAAAGATTGCAAATAGTACTTCCAGTTACGGTATCGGGAAGGCTTGACACAAGTGGAGTGCCAAAAGTCTTCCATGACTTCCGCCCAAAATTGGCAAGGGACGACCTGCACATGAAAGATGGTGATTTTGTCGTAAGGAGATTTCTCAATGTTTTTTTTTCTTGACCACAAAAGTGGAAACTTATGATGAACGTCTTTATCTGCATTCGGTTTCAACTTTCAACCATTATAGATTTGATTGATATCTAAACAACACAATAACACATCGTACAGAATGATTGTACTTACTCCATACGCTGGTTTCTGAACACCACAATAGGAGCATCTTCATTGTCTTTAGGAAGCCGATATGCAACCAAACGATCTCCATCTCTGATCAAGGAGATGACTTCAGAAGGTTCGTCCAAGTACCGAATAAGGGAATTGTTGTAGACCTAGATCGCGATCACCAAACAGTAAGGAAATATGAAGGGCATGTTTAGCAGCTTTTGAAATAATGATTCTGAAGGAATAGTGAATACCTCAGCAACTAGGAGGCGCTCATCATCTCTCAACGAACAAGCATTGCTTAACATATTAATAAGGGTCCTTGTATCTCCAGATTTCGGTACACTAATAGTGTAAGGAGATGGCCCACTGGTCCCATCAGTGCTGAAGACTGTTATAGTCATTGTTCTCATTGTTGTTGTAGGCAGGGGCAAAGACAAATACATAAATGGGTCAAATGTTACAGACACTTTCTTGCAGATGGGGCAAACTAATGTTGACTTGTACTGACCCTGTGTTGAAACACCAAAGACAGTCAATATAGAAGATAAAAAAAACATATAAATTGAAGTACACAAAAGGCAACCGTCCCACTATGCACATTTGTAATGTATACACAAATAATGGGCATAAAATATCTTAGAGCTGGCACATAAATTGCAAGGACTGAAAAGGGAATGTACTATTGTCCAGCCCATATCCTGTCTCTCCACCAGAATAACAGCTATATAGATGTAACAAATGTCATCAATCAATTAAATGGATCAGGAGAATTCTTGTAAAAAACAAGAAGTCTGAGGCTGTGAGGCAGGTGTTAACTCAATATATTCTAAGCAAGGGCTCAAAACCTCCTGTTTGTCCAGTAATAGGCAACTGGCATAGTTTAGTGTATGGATGCAAGGCAGGTTGTCCGCAACCCCGCAAATAGGTTTGTTTTTTTTTTTTGAGGTTATGTGGGTAACCCGCAAGTCTATTTGCAGATTCACGGACAACCCACCTTGCATCCCTATTCCATAGTTTAGTAAAAAGGTATATCAAGTAGCCAGTGTAGTGAGACTTTTGGTGACATTGAATGTCCTTTTTCTATACAAATTAGGTTACTTTGGAGTAAAAATGTAGAATTTTCATCTAACTATGGACATACATATTGGCTGCAATAAACCATTAGCACATGCAAACCTTTTATAATCTTGCACCATCAATTGTTCTGAAACTTGAAAAAATAATTAGCACAGGATCCTTTCCTATAGCACATACATATCTAATCAGCACAGTTGGTACAGTATATATGGATGATTCAAGAATCCAACTACAGCTGTATAACCATAGGCCCTAATCGATATCCCATAATTCTCTTTGACACCCCTAATGCAAATACCAGGATCTGTAAATCTGTTTGCATAAACATAGAAGGAATATACCAAGGAAACGAAGGGAAAGTACTGATACACAACAGGTAATAAAAGATATAGAAAGGAGACGAAAATCGTTATAGAAGAATGTGCATGTCTCGAAAATAGAGGCCCTACACTCATTCAAAACTAACCTGGCAGATATCAACTATGATAGAATCATTTCGGGCTAAATGGTTGCCCCAGTACTCATCTGCGACCTCCTCATCCGGACGACCATCTGAATCCTTTGCTTCAGAATATGGTTTACATTTAACACGGTTCAAATCTTCATGGAGTCCATCCAATAGGAAAGCAAGAAGCTCCTACATATGTATGACACATAAAACTAATCTGAGAAACACTTCATTGGCATTGCAAAACACTTCAGGTAAGTAATATACAAGTTATTGCTAAAAAGCCAAGTAACTAAAAATCAGTCCCCAAATAAAAGCCCCCCTATAGAAACACAAGTTCTGGATATTGCAAGGCAACAGCACAATTCAATACATTAGCACCACATCTTGGGGTTCAGGCTACTTAATCCCAAAGCTGATATTAGTAGGGGATCAAGTGGCCTATAGCCAGCTATGAATGGAGTTCAATAAAGAAATAATTTGAGAGTTTGTGTTTTAGAGTCAAGATGTTTCCAAAAATAAAAAGCAAACTAACCTGTGAATCATGTTGGTTAAAGCCACTGAATTGGGGAGCAAAGCGTCCAAGTCTAGCTTTGAATTGGCGAGGTGCAACGGGGGTTCTATCAATAGCCCATAGCTTCCTCAATAAATCACCAAATGCGCATGCGAGTTCCCCCTGTTTAAGAAACATTTTGCAATTGAATTAAAGAAATAAAAGTAATATCAAATTCCAAGTATAAATACACTATATTAACTGTAAAAAAACACTTTGGCATACCTTCATCCCCAGTGGGTTATGTGGGTTTATTTCTTTATGGAAATCACCAAGGAAATAGTCAACCAGCTTTGAAGTATGAGCCAAGCACTGGACTGCACTGTTCATGAAACATGTGTTTCCCAGATTGTCTAGTCCTGTTAGACCAGAGCCAACTTGCTTAGAGCTTCCACTTGATGAATCCAGATCCATGTTCATAGTACCACCATTGCTAAAACTTGAGCCACCCAATGTTAATGCTAACTCGTCTCTTTTCCCATCAGAACCATTAACCATAGGTTCTGACAAATCATAAATGTGTATTTGTAGAGGCATCTGAAAATGTGAAGTAAAGTGTAAACAACATATACTACAAAAGTGTAAACAACATATACTACAAAACTGTAAGCAACATATATGAGAAGATACAATCACAAGAGCAAACTGTTCAAAAGCTAAGTTCGAAGAAGTGCAACCTAGATAATCTAATCTAAAAAACAAAAGGGAAAAAATATCTGGTTAATCACTGAGCCTAGTCACTCAGAATAAGATAGCAGAAACCAAGTCACATATAGCCCTGACCCCCTACAATAAAGTATGTGGTTGACACTTGACAACTAACATCAAAGCTCCAAATAAGAGAATATACATGTTTCAACAAATATAACTCATGCACTAGTCATCCAACCTTCCTAGTTTAAACGGGAATCATATAACAATATGTTTTCTTACACAATTTACAAATTCTAAAGAAACTGTTAGCAAGTCAAAAGAAGAAATGTACAGTTTTCAGAATGTGGAATAAGAAATTTGTAATGGGAACATAAAGTCAATTTCACATGCCTGAACCTTGATTGCTTCTGCTGGGTTTCAACTCTAGCCTACCCCAACTTGTTTGGGACTTAAAGGCTTTGTTGTTGTTGTTGTTGTTGAACATAAAGTCAATTAGCTGGACACAGATACCTCAGAAAGGAAATACATAATGATTTGAATGCACCTTTTCTTTAAGGTATGGTGGACCTTTCCTTGGACTTTAGAAGTAGAACATGCATCCTTTGTTCATGGAACTTTACAAGGACATGAAGAAAGCTCTAGGATTATGAGAGAAATTGAAGTGACTTGGTGTTTATCCATGCTCAGTATGAGCCAAATAATTCAATGGAAAAGAGTTCAATTCAAAAAAAAGGAGATTTTGACAATATGAATCATAGATGCACTAACTTAGTACAGATTAAATACACCTACTTCAGAAAAGAATATAAGAACCTTGACAAACTAAACATGCTGCAGCGAGTGGTAAGCAGAACTAATCTAAAGAACAAAAAAATCATCATTGACATTTTATGCAACAAGAAAGGCCAAAGTAGCTGCCAGAACAATCCCACTAAAACCACAACAGTGAAATAAGATGGAAGGCTAGATGGAGAAGATACCTCCTGATCTGCAGATTTTGAGTCATGGGGCGACCGGTTCAATTCAGTCATAACTATGTATGTTGTTCGCCCAGAGAAATCCCATATGTGAACCTACAAACATGCAATACAAGAAAAATAACTATAGCTATTTACCATTACTAGTAAGTGGGAAAAAGGATTGTCAGAAGAATACCGGCTCAGAGTCTGCAGTCAGAATCTTATTTGCTCTCTTAAAGTTCTCAGTTGAGTTGTCCTGAGTGTACCAAAGGGAGGGGGAAAACACAAAGTTAAGATATACTTATTACTGAAGAATATCATCCTTAAAAAGAGAGCAATCAATATCCTTAAGTAAAAAACTTTCTTAAAAAAAGAGAACTCTTCCAAACTACAAGAATCAAGCAGAATGCAAGTACTTTGTATGTACCTTTTTGCCAATCTTCACTGTTAGTGTATGTGTACCTCTGGTGGCAGAAACTCTTAGCATTATGGGGTAAATATTTACTGAGTCTCCAGCAGGTGACATGTTTTTGCCTGCAGACTTGGCAGAATCAATATACCTACAAAAATAAAATAAGATAAGTTATACTGAAAGAAAGAAAATAGTCGGATCATCATGTAAGTAAAAGAAATAAATGAGAACTAAACTCAGGCAGCTGAGCATATATAATTTAAAGACCGCTAGCCTTAAGTTAACTATACAATGCAACTGCATTAATGTCATTAATATCGAAAGGGTTTGTCCCAGTCTGAAAGATATGTATCAATGGTTCTAGACTTCAAAACATTCCCAGAGGTAGCACAAGATTTTTTTGCTCTCAGCAGCCATCCATCCTGATGAAGGCCACAATGCAACACCAGATTTCTTGCTCTGAGCCTTTGATGCACTCCTTCAAGGCAATTTAAACTTTGGAGCAACTACAGGCTATTAATCCACCACAAGCTTCATGGAGAGTCTCCACAAAAGAAGTCGTATTTGCATTGATCACATCAGCGTTCTAAGTCCTAACACGTGCGGAAAGAACCAATGCTTTATTGCACAGCTCAGCAAAGGAAAAGGGGTTCCAGCAATGCACTGTGGTCTCCTTATGGTAACTCATTAAATACAACCTTTACTAGAATGTTGGAGAACCGAACCCTAGCACGTAAATACAACCTTTACTAGAATGTTGGAGAACCGAACCCTAGCACGTAGGGATTGGCATCCGTCCTACCGGAAAACAGCTCATTGGCATGCGAACAACATGCACATCAACCAATCATCGGCAGCCAGGTGTTATTAGGAAGTGAAATTAACAGTTACCCTAAATTGTCCACCTCACTCGCTTCCAGCAGCAAGTCTAGCGCTTCGAATACATAGGACCGCCATATTCGATGTACAAAATCACAGTAGCAGGATTACCATCACAGCGTGGAATTGCAGGCGGCTGGCTACCTAAAGTGACCTAGACCATCATTAGGCATCATTAGGCATCTAATTCAGTACGAGCTGATCATCCTAAGCATTGCTGGCTACTACACCCACTCAAACAGGTGATCCAAAATAAATCTCGCGGGGCATTGAAGGCAATCCTCCTATCATACAACCATTCCAGCCAGGGAAGCGAGGAGGAACTGAAGAAGAAGAAGAAGAGTGATAAGGAACAGAAAAAATAGGTGGGAGCGGGCTATCTCACCAGTCCCGCGCCTTGGCGAAGAGGTCGGCCGGGAGGAGCGCGTAGCTCCTGGCGGAGGCGGCGGCGGTCTGCTCGAGGAGCTCGTCCGCGCGGCGGAGCGTGTACGTCTGGTCCGAGAGGAACATGCTCAGCACCCTCATGCCGTAGGAGGTGGGTCCAGCCGGCGCGGCCGCGTAGGGCAGCCCGGGCGCGTCGATCGCCGATCCCTCCTGCGCCTCCTTCCACCACCTGCGCCCATCGCATCTCGTCAGAAGGGCCGTTCCGTTGCTGCCGGCGCGCCACCCAGGATCGGGCGGGCGGGCGAGCGAGCTAGGGTTAGGGGTTGCGTGCGCTCACCTGAGGGGCACTAGGAAGACGCGGTCATCCTCCTCCTCATCGGCGGCGGCGGCGGAGGCGGCGGGCGGCGCGGCCTCGGCGGGATCCGACGGGTCCGGGTCCGGGTCCGTTGCCGGCGCGGGGAGCGGCGGCGGGTCCGGGGGCGCGGGCATTGCGGCCCGAGCTCCGCAGCGGGCGCGGCGGCAGCGGGGCGAGGTGCTGGGATCGTCGTCGGGACGGGACTGGGACTGGAAACGGAAAGGGTAGGGGAGGGGAGGGAGGGGGAGGGCAGCGAGCCGGTGCGCGTGCTGGGCGCCTGGGCCTGAAGGAGAAGAAGGCTCCTGTCTGTTTGGTCTGGTGATGTTGAGGAGCCGAGTGAGGCCGTGAGGGGCTCGCGTGCGGGTGCGGGCGCGGGTCGTCGTCAGGATCTGGTCCGGTCCGGTCAGGTCGGTCGGATCGGTGTCGACTTTTGGATCCGGCCACCGGAAGACAGCAAAAAAAAAAGGTGCGATTCGTTTGGGTCGGGCCCGCGTGTCAGTGTCCATTTGCGGTATATCCTGCCGTCGTTTTCATCTCACCTTTTACTCACGTGTCTGTCACCAGCTGATTTTGTTGGGGAACAGTATATTCTTTTTTCTCGTGCTATATACTTCGTGGAAGCAGGAATTCATAGAATTTTTTTGAATTTTGTAGCATGGAATGCTACATAGGTACTCCTTGAATATAATACAAATACAATACAACCAGCTCTAGCTGTCTCTGTCTCTGACCTCCGCATGGCTTCACGGCATGTGGAGAAGGGGAAGGGGGATCCGCCAGTGGATATTCCCTAGCCTCCGAGGAGGGCAGTAGCACTAGCACCCCAGGCCATATATAGCACGGATCGGGTGTTGAGTTTTGGATCCGCCAAACGATTCGTTTGGGTCGGCTTTTTGTCCATTTGCGGTATATCCTGCCGGTTTTCATCTCACCTTTACTCACGTAATTAAAAATATTTGCGCCAATTGATTTTGTTGAACAGAGATAAAAATTTTTCTATTAGTGTGGAAGCAGAATTCAACCAAGAATTTTGTAGCATGGAATGCTACATAGGTACTCCTTGAATACAAATACAATACAACCAGCTCTAGCTGTCTGGTGGCTCCGCATGGCCGGGCGGCGGCATGTGGAGAAGGGGATCCGCCGGTGGACCCTAGCTTCCGGTGGAGGGCAGTAGCATGTTGGGCCCACACGGGAAACCTGATGTTCTCCTTTTGTGGGCTTCCCACGCTTGGACGACTTGTCCAGGCCCATTGATGTTCTCCTTTTGTGCGCTTCGCTTGGACTTGGCCAGGCCCATTGTGGCTCCTTGAAAGCTTACATATTGTTTGGTTGAAGTGTCCAACTAGATTGGGTTGGGTCGGACTCAATTTTAAAAGTATTTGGTTCCATGGCGAAGCTCGCTGGACAGGAGACGAGAGGAAAGGAGCGGACTCACGGTTCGCTCTTGTGGCTCGGGAACCATGGAAGGAGAGGAACGGTAGATGGTTTCGCCAAGCCTCGTCCACGGTTATGCAGATCCTCACGCACATCAGGCACTTGGTAGACCAATGGATAGACACCGGTGGCGAAACTAGGTTGTCTCGTGCGCGAGTAATCACCTAGTTCAAAGTCCTCTAGGTGGGGATAAAATCTTTGTAAATTCATCGGCCCCCCTAGTGTGCCATTAAGTGGCGTGTCATTGTAATCAAACCATCTCTCGACCTTAATACAATGATACACAAACCTTTTGTGTATTCGAGAAAAAAAACAGTATTTGGTTCCAAGGGATGGGGTTGGGTTCATCCCGGAGGGAATATTCCTCTTAGATGCGGGTTCGTCCGATTCCAGTGGACCGAACGAACCCACATCCGAGTAGCGATGAGTTGAGCTCGATGACGACCGGGAGCGACGCGACGGCGGCCAGCGATAGCCTCGGCGAGCGGGAGCAACCCCGATTGAGGGCCACACGCAGCCTCGGCAAGCGGCGGTCGACAAGCGAGAGCAAGAGCGGCGCGACAATGGCAAGCGCGCGGCCTCAGTGAGCGGAAGCAGGCCCGACTGCCGGCCACGCGCAGCCTCGACCATGGCTGCGGACGCGCGGCCTTGGTGAGTGGGAGTGGCGCGGCAACGCAGTGCAGACAGCCACGGCATGAGCCACCTCGACTGCGGGCCTCGAGCCGAGCAAATATGGGGAATGAGACAGGAGACGGCAGGAGAAAGAAAGGATGACATACGGGTCCCGCATGTCAGGTATCCAATCCTTAACCCTTCATCCAAACAAAAAACCGGGATGGACGCAACCCTTTCAACCAAACATGAAATGGGTTGAACTCATCTAAAAAACAGGGTTGGGTCCAACCCATCCCCTTTGGTCCCAAACCAAACACATGCTTAGTGGGCATCCGAGAAACCAGACACCATCTTACGTTTCTGTAGGCCCAAACATCTCAGCACCTTACTAGCCTGGACATTTGGGCTACCCGATTCTTTCAGGCCGGGTAATTCAAAACGGTAATGAAAATTGCTACCCGATATTCGCCCTAGAAAAACACTACCCACAATTTCGGGTACCCGCTAATTCAAGTTCGGGTCGGTACCTGATATACCGAAATTTACAGAAAACAACAATCTGCAAAAATTTAGGAGTAATTTATACATAATTTCAGCAGCAATTTGTATAGAATTTCAATAGCAATTTGCAGAGAATAATATATTGCAGTCACTTGTTCAACTAGAGAGAATCATATACTAAAAAAGTGATAAATTCAAGTGTTCAAATGACAACCACTACTACAGAAAGTTAAACACCGCCGGCTCCAGAACCCCCATTACTGACGGTTTTGGCCCCCGTTGGTGTAAGTTGGCGGTGATCGGCGACCATTATCTCCGCCGGTAGAGAGCCGGCGGTGACGGTATTTTACCACCGTCGGCCCAGCGTACCATAGGGCGGTGACGGTATCTTACCACCGCCGGCCCCGCGTACCATCCGGCAGTGATGGTGTGTTCTTCAACGCCAGTCCGACGTACCATCCGGCGGTGATGATGCGTCCATCGACGCCGGCCCGACATACCATCCGGCGGTGATGATGCTTCCATCGACTCCGGCCCAGAGTGCCATCTGGCGGTGATGGTGCACCTATCATCGCCGGGCCGGCATACCATCCGACTGTGATGACAAGAACACCAATGATGGTCCGTCGTACCATCCGGTTGTAATGCCGAGAGCGTCAACTCCGGACCGGCGTACCATCTAGCGCTGATGACAAGAACATCAATGCCGGACCGATGTACCATCCGGCTGTGATGACGAGAACATCAACGCCGGACCGGCGTACCATCCAACAGTGATGTAGGTGCCAGCGATACGCGGTCGGTGTTCCCTCCGGCGGTAATGAGGGACGATGTCACTGCCACCGTTGTGTTTGTTCCGGCAGTAATGTTTTGTCCATTACCACCGGTGTTACCAATGTGCATTATTGTTCACAATACATTATAATAACAGTAATAGAGACATTACATGGCTTACGCAATCGCCAGCAACATATATATATAGAGAGACAATGTATTGTATCAAAACATCCATCACCACCAAGACACAAATGTCCATACAAATAAAACGACAACGATAAACATAGTTTTCAACCACAGCGACATAACGTCGAAATCCAATAACAGAGAATATATAGTTTTCAAAACACTAGCACCTTGATTAGAGAAGGTGATGGACTCCCTTGGTGCTCACGACTTGGTCTATAATGAAACCGAAAGATCTTCTTGGAACCCAGATATCTCCAAATTGGTCAGCTCCGGTGTAGATGACACTTCAGTCTGGAACACAAGAAAAAGGTGAAACACAGTTAAGAAAAGCTTTGCTAAACACTCTAAGTACATCGAAAGGTCGTCCAAATTTACTAAAGGGGCCGAGGGGCCAAACCTGTGAGCCGGAGAGAGCTTAGTGCTTCCCAGTTATCGGGATGCTCTTTGTTTCCCAGTGCCTGGGTCAGCTGATCATTCTCCCTATTAGGCTTGAAAGTACCATTACCAACTTCCTTGTGGACCGCCTTCATCCTTTGTGCGAGTTCCTCGGTTGTAGCATCCCCATAACTTAGGGATCCATCTAGGTTGAAGGTAACCCCTCACAAGAAGGAACCTTACAGAGCGAGGATCTCAGTCAGATGTATAGACCATAACACCGCTCTAGGTCACCTGGTCCTCGTCTAGTTCCCAATCTTAGATTTTCCTCGTGTAGCCATGCGAGCCGGTGCGATGCGGCCTCATATTTTTGTGGGAGTTGATCATATTTGCCTCACTCTGTTCCTTCGCCTCATCCGATTGCTTCCCACTCATGAAATCACTCCAATACTCTTGTTGATGTGGGTATTGACTCCATTCTTGCTCGATGCCCTTCCTTACATATTGGGTGTTCAGGTAGTACCTAAAATACTTGAATGAGTTGCCCATGATAAAGAATGCCCGATCCTTTATCACCTCTTCATCAAACCCATCAGGAAAAACAAATAGGTCCTTCAGCTTCTCCCAGCAAAGATTCTTCAGACTGGATGGAACCACCCATTCGCTGCCCTTTTGTTTCTAGTACCTATACTTGATGGGTATGTTGTCCTTCACTAACACCCCGATGGCCATCTTGTAAGGCGCCATGACACCAAATGGCAGCACGGGTTCTCTGGTCGGATCCAACTCGGTGATAAACTGTTTACCGGTGCGCAACTTGCTCCGCCCTCGCCTAGCCTGGCGCCTAGGAAGCCTATCTGATGTTGTTGTGTTTCTCTCGCTAGGAGCTTGCTCCTGCACATATTGATCAAATACTCAGGCTGTAAGATTATTCTACATATAATAGAGTAATTGAGTCAGCTACGGATATACACAGATGGATTACCCCGCCGATTCCACCAAGGTCAAGGTACCATGAAGGGGATGGCTCCATAGGTTCTCTGGCTGGATCCAACTCGGTGATACCCTGGCGCCTAGCAGGCCTATCTGCTATGGTTGTGTCACTCTTGGTTGGAGCTTGTCCTACACATACAGATCAAATACTCAGGCTATAAGATTGTACTATATATAAAAAGAGTAATTGTCTCAGCTACAAAATACGCAGATGGATAACCCCACCGATTCCCACAAGGTCGAGGTA